AAAAAAAAAAAAATTGTGATGCTTGAGCCTTATCCTCTGGAGATTATGAAGGAATGGGTCTCGGAGAGAGCCTGGGAATTGGCATTTTTTAAAGGGCCGCTGGTGACACTAATGTGCAGCTAAGGTCGTGATGGCACGGCCAGCAGATATGCCACTCAGCGGTCCATATGGTCTCGTCGATTACGGAACATGTTCTTTGCACAGCTTACCAAGTTTCCAACAAACCATGGATGCCCAAGAACTAGTTAATCAAATTCATTTAAAAATTGTTCCTTTATCTTTTATTTCAGGCCTCCTCCCCGGGAGACCTTCCACCCCCCTCCACCTGTTCCACCCAGAGGGCGCTGACTCCACCTCCTAAAACCTGCCTACATCCGGACTTCGAGACTTGCAATTTCAGCCTGTTAATGATGTCTTCATGTTGAGTTTTATGGCAGGACTACTGACTTAAGACCTCCTCTCATGGCTGATGTCGTTGTGGCCCTGCTGGTTTGGGCTTTCCTTGAAGAAGATATTCTTAAGGCATGAAGAAGTGAAAAACTGAGCATTTTATTCACCATCACCAAGTATATTGATCCATAGCCTTGTTTGCCAGAAGGATAAAGACTTAATTGGAATACTTACCTCGAATTTGGCATGTCAGAAGCCTGAGAAGATTGATTAGAAATGTACTTTTACAAGTGATTTTACTGAAATGCACTTATATTAGGCCTTACTTATTTGCTAATCCAGACTAACTTCTAGAAGTGGTTATGATTTAAGACTTACAGTATATGGGTAAGGAGATATGTTCTGATTTTTAAGGTTCTTCAACTTTTCTGTAGATTCTGGAGGGTGTCTAAACGCCAGGCCTGGTCACAATAGAACAAACTGAAAAAGACTTTAGAGATGGATTAGTCCTAAGTCCTTTTATATGGAGGGCAAATCTGAGGTTCCACAGAAACTCAGAGTATACAATTGGTTAGAAGAAGAGATGTGTTTAGAGGCTGGGTCTCTTAATTTCAGGTCACCACACTTTCAATCTCTAGATAGCCAATCGCTCTCCCTCAAGAAATGCCCACATGTAGAAATTTGGTCACTGACTGACTATTGACCTTCCAGAAATGTCCTTCCAGATCTCCCAGGCATGGGACTATCAAGTATTTTTTTCAGTTTGGGCATTTATAATTCAGTATGCTTTCAAAACAGTATTGTTGCCAAGGAACATCTGTAAATGGTTGGGAACCAGAAGCTTGGGATACCAATGACCACATTTATTGTTCTGCAGCCTTTATAGGTCTTATTAGTTCTGGCCATAAGGAGAGAGGAGGATCCTTGACTCTTTCTCTGCCAAGAGGTCAGAAGAGAAAGGAAGAATGTAAAATAGAAACATTTATCTATTTCCTTATTATTACCACTAGACTTGGGATATCTGTACAAAGAATAGAGAGCCATTAATATGTCATTAATTTTGAGTCACTGGCACAGAAATCTGCCTTTAGAGCACAGATCCTTAATTTGATACTTAAACATACGGTAAAGTTAGTATCAGACATATTTCTTTAAAAAATATCAGAAATCTGGTGATTTTTCATGAAATGTATTCTCTGTCCCACACAGATACAAGCCACAGTATTACTGATCTATTTAAGTACAGTTTTATTATGTCCTTTTCTAATGATTCAGGTTGGTGTTGTTTTCCAATTTCATTCATCGGTCCAGCAAACAAGGACTCGTATTGAAATTAATAGCTTATGGGTCGTGGGTCATTTTTCTGACATAAAATACACTATTGGCCATGGCCATTAAGAGAGTGTTTGTGCAAATCACCTACCGCAATGCCTGGCACATAGTAGCCATTCTGCATGGTTCCTTTCCTCTCTTTGTCACTTCTTTGGGAGAAAGAGGGTAATGTGGGATAGAGGGAGAACAAGAAATTATAATGTTGGTATGGTTGTCCTTCCTCTTATTTATACATGATCTCTTAAGCACATTTGATTTTGACAAAAGCTACACTTTTTTTTTAATATTCAGTATCTCTGAGCCCCTTCTTAGAGGCCAAATTTAGATTTTTGTACATTCTCTGATTAATAAGCATTTAGATCAATAACATGGCAAAACTTACTGCCAGCTGTTAGTGTTAGCATCTTTGTATGCACATCACTGTTTGTACAATATTGGCATGTTTGATTACATTTTATTCTTCTGTGAAAGTAAGTGGAAAACATAAAATTGAAAGTGCTGATTAGACACTTGGGTCTGACAAATGTGACACACTTGAGACATGGGTGGAGATGGTCAGGAGTTCATTGCACATCCAAGCTGCTCCATGTTATCACAGAATGTCTCCAACAATGAAGTGAAATTCTTCATTTTCTGGAAACAGAACTACCCATTATAACATAAATTTATTCAACTTCTGCACACTCAACTTTTATACACATTTTTAGGAATATATTATGTAACAAAACCTTGGATTTCAATACAGTGAGGATCAGAAACTAAATTTGTAAGTAGGTATCCAAAGAGACTGTTAAAAAAGTTCTCTGCTTTGGGAGACAACTCTGCTGCCACCATCCTTCCCCGAGATTTTATGAGCTGGTTCAATAGAAAGGGAAGCTATTAGTCATATTCGTGGTCATTGCCTTTGCTTCTAACTGTACAAGGCACATTGTCCTTTAGTTCCTAGGCCAGTATTCTTCCTTAATCTCATATTAAAACCTGTGAGCAGATAACCCAACGATATAAGCAACAAAGCACGAAGACTGAGAGACTAGAACAAGAGGTTGGTGTTACAATCAAATAATTTAACTTGACATATTTAATGATGTGAATAATCCCTAATGCTTTGCCATAATTAGGCAAAGTGATAGTATGAAAATTACTTCAGTGAGGAGTTTTACAAGTCAAGCTAAGTACTTACTCTCCCCTCCATTTTTCTTGCTTTGTTACTAAAAAAGAGAGGTTCTAGCCTGTCCTTTATCACTTCAGTAGTTGGGATTTTTAAGTCCCTCTCCCATATGCACCAGGAAATAGGATGGTTTTCTGTGCTCCTCTTTCAAAGAATAGTGTTTGGTTTTGCAGCTGGTTGGCTGAGGAAGCATCAATAACAGATTTATTTCAGTCTGAGAACCAATTGTTTTAAGTGATTGCTTCCTAAAGAAAGAACTTAGAACAATTAGAAAGTTTTTTCCCTGCCTAGAATATTCCAGCTAGAACAGAAAAGAGATGTACAAAGTGATGAGTAGCAATGGAAGGACTGCCCCACCCCAGAAGTAAATAACTAGAAAGACAAACATAAAGTAGAAAGAAGAAATAGAATTTCAAAGAAAAGGGTATCTGAAACTAGCCCCTATACAAGGCTTGTCTTGGGCAGCCATAAGGCAAATAGATCTCCTCACCTGCCCACCAGAGTCTTAAAAGTTCATATAGAGAGGCCTTAACTGGGTTCAGTCACATATACCGTCCAGATGGTCTCAACAACACCTTACTCCCTCAAGGTTATGTTCTTGGAGCAGCTCCCACTTTGGAAATAGTGGGCAGAGTATATATTCCAAAGACAGGGAAGGGGGTGAGGATCCTCCGACTGCCAGCATACGGCGCGAGGGTCAACTGGCGGTCATGTTCTCTCAATTACCTTCTCTAACAGTACCTGACATTGGAAATCAAAAGATATGTTGTTATTTATAGACCAAGACTTTTGAAGATCATGTTTATTAAGAATGAAAATAAAAGATTGAAATGGTGGGTTTCTGGATCATTTACTGGTCATAAGCCCTTTAACCAACTGAGTCTTACTAGGACTACCATAAACAGGCTGGACAGCCATTGGAGGAGGGGTGTACCCTTTCACTAGCACGTTTTCTCCCCTCCCTTTTGGTGTCAGGGAATGGGGTCATCAATCTAGATGAAGAAACTGGTGAAACAAGATATATCAATGTTTTTTACTCCTTAGTCTGACAGAACAGCCCTGATCTTTTTTTTAAAGATTTTATTTATTTATTTACTTATATTTTTTAAAGATTTAATTATTTACTTGACAGAGAGACAGCGAGAGAGGGAACACAAGCAGGGGGAGTGGGAGAGGGAGAAGCAGGCTTCCCGCCGAGCAGGGAGCTCGATGCGGGGCTCGATGCGGGGCTCGATCCCAGGACCCTGGGATCATGACCTGAGCGGAAGGCAGACGCTTAATGACTGAACCACCCAGGCACTCCAAGATCTTATTTATTTTTGAGAGAGAGATAGAGAGGGAGAGAGAGTGCACGAGCTGGGGGGAAGGGGCAGAGGGAGAAGCAGACTCCCTTCTGAGCAGGGAGCCCGATGCGGGGACTTGATCCCAGGACCCCAGGATCATGACCTGAGCCGAAAGCAGTCGCTTAACCAACTGAGCCACCCAGGTGCCTGGAACAGTCCTGATTTTTTTTTTTTTTTAAAGATTTTATTTATTTATTTATTTGACAGAGAGAGACACAGCGAGAGAGGGAACACAAGCAGGGGGAGTGGGAGAGGAAGAGGCAGGCTTCCCAAGGAGCAGGGAGCCCGTTGTGGGACTCGATCCCAGGACCCTGGGATCGACCTGAGCCGAAGGCAGACGCTTAACTACTGAGCCACCCAGGCACCCCCAGCCCTGATTTTGATGGTGCTTCCTAGTCCTATTTTTTAGTGTAAAGTCATCAGTTTCCAAAGATATTTGAAGCCACACTCCTTTTCCTCTAGCCGGTATTTAATTCCTCTTCCTTCTTTCCATACCTACCGTAATCAGACTTGTATCCCTAGAGCCATTTATCATCATCATTTCCTAGTACCTACCGGAATTCCTGGGACATAGTAGAGCTTGATAAATAGTTGTTGAGTTAATGACCCTATCTGCTCTACCCACCATTAAACTTTTCCAAAAACTCCACCAAAATAGGGTTTCCTCGTTTCTTTTTTAAAGATTTTATTTATTTGTTGGACAGAGAGAGACAGCGAGAGAGGGAACACAAGCAGGGGGAGGGGGAGAGAGAGAGAAGCAGGCTTCCTGCTGAGCACGGAGCCCCCTGGGATCATGACCTGAGCCAAAGGCAGATGCTTAACTTAACGACTGAGCCATCCAGGCGCCCCAGGGTTTCCTCTTTTCTACTTACCCATTGCTCTTACTGCCTCTTGTACATTTGCACAGTTGGTCACATTTTGTGTAGTCCTTTTTTTGTACACCGTCCTGCCTATTCTCTGTTATGTGTATAATTTCCTGGTTTTAAGTCTACGCTCCCCAAATGGATGCTTTAAATTTTTCTTGTGTCCTCCCCACCCCCAAGCAATTGCCAACCCAGTGCTCCCCACAACACCAAATGTTTGCTGCCTCAACTCTGTGGAGGCTGGTGATGGATGTTCAAGGAAGAAACTACTCATCCATCTTAATTCAGCACTTACACTGCTTGTTCTTCAATTGCACATCATCACTTGATTCAAAAGCAGTGATTATTCATTCATGGAGCATTTACTGAGCTTTCACTATGAGCAAGTCACTTTGCTAGGTACTCTAGGGGATATACAAAGATGTATAAGACGCCTCCTCTGATTTCTTTAGGAATTACTGGTGTACGATTCATTCAGCAATTAATCATGTACTGCCTTGTGATGTCTCAGACTGGCTATAAAGTATTGTGCAAATCCTCTATGCAGTTTGACTGTTCACTTATTAATGTCTTCCTTCATTCACTCAGCAAATAGTTTGAATGTCTATGATGTGATGAACGCTATTCCAGCAGCTGGGACAGATACAAAGATGAACAAATGATAGTCCTTGCCATCATAAAAGGTCAGAATGTAGGGGCGCCTAGCTGGCTCAGTCGGTTGAGTGTCTGCCTTCGGCTCAGGTCATCATCCTAGGGTCCTGGGATGGAGCGCCCACATCGGGTTCTCTGCTCAGAGGGGAGCCTGCTTCTCCCTCTCCCTCTTCCGCTCTCCCTGCTTGTACTCTCTCAGATAATAAAACCTTTTTTGTTTTAAAAAACAATAGATACACGTCCCTGAAAACTCTACTGGATTAATAATTGTTGAAGTTTGTTTGTTTGTACTATATTCTGTCCTAAAAAATAGGACAGAATGTAGTACAGAAGAGGAGATGAAAAGTAACTGTGGCATGACATACTGAACGCTTTTGGAACCCCAAAGAAGGGATGCTCAACTTCCTGTTTCACAGAAGAGGTGATAATTCACTTAGGCCTGGAAGGAGAGTATCTAATAGTTGTCCGCTTATTTGCATTCTAGGCAAAGGCACACAAGTATAAAAAAACATGGTATATTTGGGAAATATAGGGATGGAGCCAGGACGAGGAGATTGGTGGGAGGTAAAGCTGGAGTCTGATAAATTGGGGTCTGATCGTGCAGCTGCCTGTTAACAGGGCTGTCCTTTAGCAAGAAACTTTGCCCCCTGATTACATACATAGCACATGGTCATTGTAAAAAACATCCAAATATTTACAGGTATGTACAAAGAAGAAACTTACCTGGTGTTAATGGTTTGCATCATAATCTTTCAGATTGTTTTCTCTGGGTAGACTAATATAGGACCATTTTAAAGGGGATTATATTCCAGGCACCAGGTGGCTCAGTCGGTTAACCATCTGACTCTTGATTTCGGCTCAGCTAGTGATCTCAGGGTCTTGAGATCAAGTCCTGCATCGGGCTCCATACTCAGCATGGAGTCTGCTTCAGATTCTCTCTCTTTCCCTCTGCCCCTCCCCCTGCTCATGTTCTCTCTCTCTCTCTCTCTCAAAATAAGTAAATAAAAATCTTAAAAAACATAAAATGTTATTATATTCTATTTTGTCAGCATTTTTCATTTAAAAGTATCTTTTACTTTTGGGGCACCTGGGTGGACAGTTAGTGTCTGACCCTTGGTTTAGGCTCAGGTCATGATCTCAGGGTCGTTTGGAGCCCCGAGTTGGGCTCCGTGCTCAGCACAGAATCTGCTTCAGATTCTCTCTCCCTCTCCCTCTCTTGTTTATGCACATGCTCTCTCTCTCAAATAATCTTAAAAAAAAAAAATTATCTCTTAATATCACTGCATGCCAGTACATACAAGTCTATTTCATTTTAAAAAATGGTTGTACAGATGGAGGTCCATTTAGTAGTAAGAAAGACTGATTTTGGAACCAGACTGCTTGGGACTGACTTCTCTTTCAGCAAGCCACTTAACCTCTCTGTGCTTCAGTTATCATACCTGTAAAATGAACATACATAGGGTTTTTGTGAGGATTGAATGAGTCAACAGGTGTAAAGGGCTCAGAATAGTGCTTGGCAGATGAAAATCTTAGCTGTGATTCCATGACTTATTTAAACAAAATTCAAGGAATTGTTTTTAAAATAATTTAAAAATAAGTTTTAAATTTTAATTTTAAAATTTATTTTAAATTTTATTTAATTTTAATTAATTTTATTTTATTTATTTAATTTTA